TGAAAGTTGGAATAGTGAGGAGTTTGATCATCAGAAGCTTACGACTAACGGACAATGAGTTGTGGGACGAGGAGTTGGACAAACTTACACGGATTAGCCTTAGTAACGGATACCCCAGAGAATTTATAGAAAAGGGCCCATTTTAACTCGGATTTTATGAAAATCAGATAAGGAGTCAGGACGACCAGAAGTGGATTTGCCTGCTCTCATCAGAACTGAGCCATCAATTGCGGCCGTTACTAAGTGAATGGAACAGCAAGGTGATAACAAATGAGAAGATAACACTTTTTAACAGACTTTAGACATAACACGAGAAGACTGACAAACCTGTTGCTCAAGAGTTTATCGCATCAAATGTGACATCTATGAGCAGAAGTATATCGGTGAAACAGGAAGAAAAATTGGCATACAAATCAAGGAACATCAAAGACTCTGCAGGAACGTGGATACAAAAATATCTGAAATAGCGGAACACATTGCACCGACGGGACGCAAAAGCGACTTGAAATCGACTGAATGATTGGCTGCATTTGGTAAAAATAAGAGAAAACGCAAGATCCGAGAGGCCATCAAAATATTGACCGAGAGAAATGTAATGAGCAGGAGACTTGAAGAAGGCAGAATCGGCGAAAACTTTGCATATTGCCTAAACAAACTAGTAGAAGACCAGGCACTAGCAAGATCAGCAAAAAGAAGACGACTGGATCAAGGTGATATCCTTAATATAAGGAAAAGAGATCGCAGGGGGACGAGAAAGGAACAATCAGAAACAGAGAGGAGACGTCTTCATTGAGCCTAATCAAAACAAGTAGAAACACAACATTTGTGGGTTGGCACACAAGAGACTAGGGCATGGCAAGTCATAGACTTGGTATTTGGGATAGAGAGAGGATAGACGCGGCGGAGACCGGAGCTAGTTGGCTGAAAGTAGGCTGTACCAGAGATATGGTCAATGTAGCAAAGGCTTGACAATGATAATTATTCATGGGCTTTAGCCTCAAGTTAGTCTCTCAGACGTAGCGTGTGGGGCATAACGCCTCTAATAGCACAGATGGGGGGTAGATAGCAGACGGATCTGATGGGGCAAGAGGGAGACTCTGAGAAGACCTATGGCAGGAGGACGGCGTGACAATAGGGCAGACTCTGATCCGCATTCCCAGCACAGGGGTAAAGGGTGAGAAAGCCAGAGTCGAATGTGGGGAGTTGCCATGGCAGCCGCTCAAAAGGGCACACCAGAACATATTTAAATAGCCAAGTAAAAATTGTGATAGTGAAGGCGTAATACGAGACTCTAGGATTCGTGATTAGCCCAGAGGGGAAGAAGAAGTACCACGATTGTTTAGCAGACAATTGGTAAAAGAATCGGCTTCACTTATCTCTATGACGCGTTGTAGTTTGGTGCTAAGACTTGCAAGACTCACTTGCAAGACTCACTTGCAATGCCGGCGAAGCGTCTGGGAATTTAACACGTCCACAGTCCTACCTTGGAAATGATCATGCATACAATGGACTCCGGACTAGGTGTGTTCCTCTAAGTCTTCCATCCAGTATGACAAAATTGCCAAAACAAGGTCAAACAACTTTT